CTGGACATATGGTTAGAAGAGGCTATGTGTCAGAGGACATCATGCTTGGAAAGTTAGAGGGACAGTAAAGGAGAGGAAGACCCTCAACCAGGTAGATTGACAGAGTGTCTGCCCCAGTGGGCTCTGGTATGCCAGAGATGATAAGGATGGCACAGGATAGGATATTGTTCAGATCCCTTGTTCATAGGGTGACTATGAGTTGTGCTCAAATTGAAACCTAGCAACAGCACCTTTAACATTTTGTCATCTAGCCTTGTAATGAATTTACTCTCATCCCTCTACTTAGACCCTGGCTAACCTGGTGGTATAGTTGGGTGGGTACATGTTACACTGCTAACCAGAAGATCTGAGTTCAAATCCATCAGCCTTTTCTGTGGGAAAAAGAACTTTCTGTCAAGATTGACAGTCTCAAATTAGAGAAATGAAAATAAAAACCGCAATGAGATGCCATCTTACCCCAGTAGCAGTAGCAAAGTTTAACAGAATAGCAGTCATTAACTGTTGGCAAGGATGTGGAGGATTGGCATGTTATGCAATGATTATGCTAATGACATCTCTAAACCTCCCCACCTGCAAGTATTTATATTACATTGAAAATCCATCTCTCCTCACCCCTGTTCTATTTTTCTTCCATTCTGTATCTTCCGTGTTGGCCCTTCATGCAGCTCAAGATCCGTCTCTTCCTTTTGTTAGATTTTTTTCTTCTGTGTAATGCATACTGATGATTCCTTCTGTTTAACTCTATATTGTCTTCAGCTACTAAATCTCTGCGTCTTTTCCTAGGTAAGAACACTCCATAGAGAAATATCCTGTACCCCTGCTGAAGACGATGCTTTATATTAAAGAAAGTGTGATGAATTAGTAAAAGTGTATAAGAATAACATACTCTTCTTTATGATCCATAAATGTGCTAACTCAAACTATCCACACTCTGAAATTTTAACTTTATTATTAGCTGAATTTAATTATAACTCACTTGTTAATCTACAAATTCCACTAATAAAGATAATTAGAAAAATGACTAGAATTTAGATGCCATGATTTCCTTCATATCAGTTTGCTTTTGAAAACCTAAAAACGGGATAAAATTGCTTTTGAAAATCTAAACATGGGATAAAATGAGCATTATTATTGATTATCCATCTTATAGAGATATTCCTGATTCTTGGTGGTTTTAGATAATTTTATGCTTGATCTGTCTCACTACTTATAACTAAATTTTGAAATATTGGAAAAAATCTTTCACAGAAAATTTGTTGTTGTTGCTGTTGTGTGCCGTGGAGTCAGAACCAACCCAGTAGCTCTGATGAGTTTTCAGAGGCAGTTAATGTCATGGGAGCAGATGCCCATCCTTCTCTGGAGAGCAGCTGGTGGCCTTGAACTGCTTGCCTTTGGGATTGCAATGCAGCTTCTTGCCACTAGGCCACCAGATCTCTTTTAGAATGTATAAATTTGGCTTTTTCCTTTTTAGACATCATTGTTCTTTTTTTAGCACCTAGTCTTCATAAGAAGCAGCCCTTATGGAATAGTACGTCATGTGTGTGGCTACTAAACAAAAGGTCAGTGGATCAAATCAAATCCACTTACTGCTCCCAAAAATGATGGACAGCCTCAGAAACTAGATGGAGGATCACTGTGAGTCAGAATTGACTCAAAGGCAGTAGGTTTTTAGTAGTTGTTCTTACTGTGTGTCAGCAAATTAGAACTGACTAAAGCTGACCATTCAACACGTTTTCAGAAGCTGTAAATAACACAAGAGATTGCCCATCTTTTTACCATGGAGCAGCTTGTGGATTCCAACTACCTGCCTTTCTGTTGGCAGCTCAGCTCTTTACCACTCAGCTACCAGAGCTCCTCTTTATGGTGCTTGTTTGATGCCATAAAGTAGCACATGACTCATACCTCACCCGTGAACAACAGATCTGAACCCTGTTCTAGCTTGTGCCATCCTCATCATCTCTAACACACTTGAGCCCATTGCCCAGTCACTTTATCAACCCATCTCGCTAAGGATCTTCCTCTCTTTCACTGACCCTTTACCTTTCCAAGCATGATGTTCCTTTCCAAGGAATAGCCAGCCTCTCCTAACAACAAAATATGTCTTCTTAAAGTATAGGACTTGATGGTGACTATCATATTTATTTCCATTAAATTTCAGTCATTTACTATATTTTTACATAAATAACACACTTCCTAAAGTTGTTTGCCAGTTTCTCCCTCTGATTCCTTCCCAAGAGATGCCTGGGTGCTGAGAGCTGTTGGCAAGCACACATCTAAAAGATGGGTTTATATATGCCTACTGGAAACTCTGGTGGCCTAGTGAATAAGGAGTTTTGTGTTAACAGAAAGGCAAGTGATTTGTATCCACCAGCTGCTCCAAGGGAGAAAGTTGAACAGTCTCCTCCTGTGTAGTTTACAGCCTTTGAAAATCCACTGTAGAATCAGCAATGAATTGAGTTGAGAATTTGCTGGTTTGTTAACTAACTTAATATGTTGTTGTCATTTACCATCAAGTTGACTACAATCCATAGCAACCCAGTGTAAACAGTTCTGAAGCCAGTCCTATCGTGTACCATCATCAACTCCAGCACACTTGAGCCCATTGTTACACACTCTCGCTGATCTATCTTTTTGAGGGTTTTCAGTCTCTTAATCTGACCTTTCACCTTTCTAAGCATGATGTCCTTCTCTAAAAACAGACCTTTTACTACAACATGCCCAACATATATGACACAAAGTTTTGCCATCCAAGGAACACCCCGGTTTCACATTCTCCAGAACAGATGAAAATTTACTTCTGTTGTTTTTGTTGTGTGCTGACAAGTTGGAACTGAGCCCTGGCCGACCCTCCAGTGGGTTTTTCAGAGACAGGTAATTGCACAGAAGGAGATTGCCCATCCCTCTCCCATGGAGCTGCTGGCAGGTTCAAACTGCATGCCTTCAGAATTGAAGCACAGCTTCTTACCACTAGGCCACCAGAGCTCCCTGAGAATTTACTATTCTTTGAATAGTAAATTGAAGTCTGAGAAATCCAGCTCACTTTGAAAAGCATATGGAAATTAACATTACAAGTATTACAATATTTACAAATAATTACTTGTTTATATTGACCATTTATTTAATCACAATTGTATTTTATATCAATTTTTTAAAATTAGACAGGGCTTTTTAGTTACCTTAATTTTGCTATTTAAAACAATTTTTCTTCATTTTTTTTAAATTTTTAAATTTTTTTAAATTTTTCTTCATTTTTATGAAACGCTGAACTGGATAGTTGTGATAGTTGTATAACATAGTATCCGTAGAATGTCCATTTAAAAGATACTGAAATGGTAACCATTTTGTTTTGTATTATGTGTATTTTGTATTTTGTTGTTATGTGCCATCGAATTGCCTGCAACTCATAGTGACCCTATGTATAACAGCTCTAAACCTTGCCCTATCCTGTGCCAATTTCACTGTCTCTGACACACCTACACCCATTACCCCAGTCACTGAATCAATCCATCTCATCAAGGTCTTCCTCTCTTGCGCTGTCCCTCCACCCTTCCAAGCATGACATCCCTCTCCAAGGACTGATCTCCCCTTGCAACATGTCCAGAGTATGTGAGACTAAGCTTTAGAATCCTTGCCTCCAAGGAGCAGCCTGGCTTCACCCTCTCCAGGACAAACCTGTTCATTTTCTTAGCAGTCCATAGTATATTCAATACTCTTCGCCAGCACCACAGCTCAAAGGCATCCATTCTCCTTCTATCATCCCTAATCATTGTCCAGCTCTCTGATGCATAGCAAGTGACTGCAAAAACCATGGCATGTATCAGGTGAACTATAGTCTCCGGACTGACATCATTACTCTTCAGAACTTTAGAGAGGTCTCTAACAACAGACTTTCCCGTCACAAAATATCTTTTAATTTCCTGGCTGCTGGTGCCAAGAGTATTGTCTGTGGAGCCAAGGAACTAAAACTGTTAACAATCTCAATCTCTTCACCATCCATTATGATGCGGCCAATCGGCCCAGTGGTGAGAATCTTTGTTTTCTTGATATTGAGCCTCAGTCTGTACTGAAGACAGCAGTCCCTGACCTTCCACAGCAGGCGCTTCAGATCCTCCTCAGTTTTAGCAAGCAGGGATAGTTTTGTCGTAGTATAAAAATAGAATTATCTGTCAAATCACTAGATTAGAAATTTGGAAATTGAATTCTATTATTGTAGTCCTGAGGAAGTTATGCTGCTAACCCACAGACCGTATCTTTCTGGTGGCTTGACTCTCTAAAGGCTTTACTAGAGAGTGATGGACAATCTCCTAACCTTGTGATTTACAGTTAAGAAACCCTGGTAAGTCAGCTAGGAGTCGGTTGTGACTTAAAGGCAGTGAATAACTGAATGAGCATGCTGTTTAGTTCCAGAATAATGCAATTATATTATAATTGATGTACATTATACCTCCTGACAAGGGAGCACTAGCAGTCTTGTGATAAGGAATTAATTGTGCTGCCAGTCCAAAACATGTGGCTCAAATCCACCAAGTGCTCAGTGGGAAATAGGGTGTTTTCCTCCTGTGTAGTTTCTTGCTTCTGAAAACTCTCTGGAGGGTCAGCTATGAATGAATCTCGACTTGACAGTACATAACAACAAAGAACAGCAGTGCCTCTTGATAGCAGATCTTGCTCTATTTGCTGTTGCTGCTAGATCATTATAGAATGTATGCCATTATACATTATGACAATATAAAGAAATACTACATAATTGCACTGCCAACTCAAAGGTATTGTGGTTCATATCCCCTCTTCTCCACAAGAGAAAGATGGGCAGTCTCCTACCCTGTGATTTATTGCAGCTGAAACCCACTGGGAGGTTCTGACTTGATGGTTCTGACTCAATGATACTCAACAACAACAGAGAGAAAATAAGCAATTTATAATGCCATTTAAAAAAATAAACTGAACTGTTAATGAGATATGGATTTTACAAAGATTTTCTTTTTTATTCAAATTCTAAGGATTTGAAACGTTCGTTACCAGCTGGCCTTGGTCTCTCAGAAACCCAGATTACATCTCATGGCTTTGACAGTACCAAAGATGGAGCTGTTGAAGCAGGAACATTTCAAGGTAAGAACCCATTTAGTTTTGAAGAGGGCTGTTATGGAGCTAGTTCACCAGTGCTGTCTTTATTAATAAATAAAGCACATGCTTTGAACCCTGCCGTCAGTGGTAGGGGATTTATTATAAGCATTATGCCTTTTCTTCTCCTTCAGTATAAGTTAAGAATTGTGTTGTCTCCTTTATGTAAATAGGTAAATATTGTAAACAAAGTTTCCCTGACTGTTAAGGATTGACTTTAATACTTAAATACTGAAATAATGACTCAAAATTTATATAAAAAGATAGGTTTACTTAAATTGATTTACCTGTAATCATAAAATTCAGAGCAACAAATCAATTTTGATTAATATAAATGTTTCCTATTCCAAAGCTGTTAGAAAAATAAACTTGTTCTTACTGTATATGCTGTATATGTTAAGAGACATCACACATGCACACACACACACCTGCCACCAGACAACCTGCAAGTTCAGTATTCCTAGGGCAGCAGGACTCAGTACATGGCTATGCTCATGGCTGTGATGTAGTACAGTGGAAGAATGCCAAGTGCAATCAGCAAAGGAGAAAAGATCATGAAGAAAAGCCTCTGGTCTGGATACACCAGGTGGAAGCTTCCAAGAGTCCTCTCAGTGAAGTCACACAAGGTCCTCTGAATTCTCCCAGAAAAGATTTGTGACAACATTAGAAAAAATATTGCCATCCATGGAAGTATATTTCGGGACTCAGAGCCCATAAGTTTTATTGGGATCTGGTCACATAGCCACACTCGGTCTAGCATATGCCGTATTTTAGACCCCTAGAAGGAAGTATATGTTCAACAGAAACCATATTGTTCATGTGAAGAATTTAGGCTTGCGAGCCACTCCTATCAGGCTTGATACTAGAGGAATTCCTCTTGAAATACAGTTTCTCAGACACTGGCTGAAGACCAACTATATAAGTATGACTTTTTAAGGATAAGCACTTAGCACTATAAAAAAAAAAGGATAAGCACTTAGGGCTTTTTATGTTAACTGTTTTTCTTCACACACAGTAGTGATGTATCTGTTTTTAATAGCAAGGATGAAGTTGCCTTCTGTTTGGTGTTCTTGCTGGAAATTTTTTTTTTTAATGTTTGAATTTTTGTGGGTTTTTTTTTTTCATACCACTGAGACGAAGTAAACCAAGTAAACATTTGTATGTAAAATATGGATTATTTTCTTGATAGAACTGTAGCTAAAGTAGTAGTAATAGTTGTTGTTCAATAAAATATGTAAACTTTAATATTACACTTAATTTCAGAGTGAAAAAGATCTTAACGCCTTTGCAGTCTTTAGCCCCCTTAGAGATAATAGTATATTTCTACTTTACTAATGATTAATATTTCAAAACTATGTTTTGAAATGTAGTCTTCTTTAAATGAGTCCTGGAAGTAGGCATATTCTTTTGAGATTAATTGACACAGTGACTGTCACAATGGCCTTGAGCAAGGCAGAGATCATGAGAATGGTGTAGGATAGAGCAAGATTCTGATCGTTTGTCCCTAAGGTTGCTGTTAGTCCTTGTTGACTCCAGAGCACCCGCCTAACATTGAGAAAAAAGAAAATCCCTGAACACCTGATTATGGTCATGCAAAAACCTATATATAGACCAGGAAGAAGTCGTCAAAGCAGAGCAGGGAACCACTGCTTAGTTCAAATTTGAAAAAGGAATGTGTCAGGGATGCATCCTGTCTCCATACCTTTTCAGTTTATATGTGTAACAGGTGATTTGGAAGACTGGGCTTTATGAAGGCATCAGAATTGGGGGAGGACTCATCAGCAACCTGCATTATGCAGATGGCACAACCTTGCTTGCTGAAACTGGAGTGAGCCTGAAGCATTTGCTGCAGAAGGTCAAGGAATGCAATTTTTAATATGGATTGAAGTGCAACATTAAGATGACAAAGATTCTCGCCACTGGAAACAATTGACAGCACTATGATAGATGGAGAAGAGATTGAGGTTGTTAATAATTTCAGCTTGCTTGGTTCCAAAGTGAGCACTCTTGGCAACAGCAGTCAGGAAATCAAAAGATGAATTGCATTGTGAAAATCTGCTGTAAGGAACCTGTCCAGAGTACTAAAGAGCAATGATGTCAGTCTGGAGACTAAGGTGTGCTTTATTTAGACCATGGTCTTTGCAACTGCTTGCTATGCATCAGAAAGCTGGACGCTGACTAAAGGTGACAGAAGAAGGATTGTTTCCTTTAAGTTAGAGAGCAGGGTGTTGACCATTCCATGGACTGCCAAGAAAACAAACAGGTTTGTCCTGGAGAGGACAGTGTTGTCCTGAAGAAACCTTGTTGCTCTTTAGAGGTATGGATTTCGAAGATCCATCTCACATATTTTGGCCTTGTTGCCAGGAGGGACCAGTCCTTAGAGAAGGACATTATGCCCCTGGATGAATTTTACTGATACAGTAACTGGGGTAATGGGGTTAGAGTTAGGTGTGTTGGAGACAGTGACCCTGGCTCAGGATAGGATAGTGTCAGAGCTATCGTGCATAGGATCGCTATGAGTCACACAGGCTCAATGGCATATGACAACGACAAACAACAGCAGCAATATAGTATCTTCTAGGCTGTAAAATGAATGGGATGTTTGTGACATTTTTCTTATTTTTATATTCAGAAAAAAATAAAGCTATAAAAAGAGAACATGGCTGTTAAATTTTTAATAACCACTTTGCAACATTTGTATTTTGAGGGTAACTTTGAATTTGAAATGCTTGTTTGAAAGCTTTTAATGAGTTCCCGTGGTGATAGGTAGCTTGCTTTGCATAGTGTAATACTGATTATGTTGCAGTCAACATAACATTACCATAAATTTTACTATTAATACCATTTAAGTATTTTCAAAGAAATTATTTAGCTGACGTTTAACCTTTTTTTATGCCTTAAGTGTAATAATGTTATGCAATACTTAAAAATCAACTGGAAATGCCTGTAAGTTTCACTTCCTTATAGATACACTGTAATTCTTCAAGTACAAATAAAAAAATATGTTTCATGAAATTGGGCATTATCTTAGTTTGTTTAAACTGCTTGATAAAAATATTTTTAAGCACACCATATCATTGCTCTCATATATTAAAATAATTTTTCCATACATAATCTTAGTCAAGCATTAATTGGAAAATTATGGTTATTTCAAGTATATTTTAAAATATACATATATACATAGGTAAATTATAATGAACACCTAGAAAGAACAACATGATTAAAATTTAGTGAATAAATCTTCATCAGAAACAGTAAAGGATTTGTGGCTGTGTTAATCACCTGGAAAATACTGAACAGTGTCTTTATTACCAGCCATCACATTTTGGATGAGTATTGCTGTCTACTTTTCCATATACCTTTGAGCAAATTTTGAAGAAATCATATATTGAATTTAACCCTAACTACAAGACTATAGAATCAGTAATAGTGAAAATAATGAATAAATCAGATATTTAATTGCAAAGCACACTTAATACCTCGGTTATTCATAATGGAAGGTTCAATTTGGTATTCATGTGTTCATATGCCTTAATTCTCTTACTGAGATGAAACTATTTTCAAATTTTGGCAATTAGCAAGATCTTGAATTTTTAAAATTCCCATTTATATGTATTAATGAGTGATCTTGTTAGTTAAAATTAGTAGTTTAAAGGGTTAGAATATTGAAAACATGGAAAAGTGGTCATTACCTTTGAGGTAAAGTAAAAAAGCTGAAGGTGCCCATTTAGTGAGTATCTTGTCATTCACGTTTTTAGGTTAGAAAGTTATATAGAATTTGTTTTATATAATAGAGAATTTCATGTTGTATTGAAGGATTATTTCTTTAGTAAAATAGAATGTTGTAATAATCAGAATAGCAGAGCTCTGTTCCTGAGGTCATTAAAATAGAAATTACAGTAGCCTGCTTGTATTTAATATTTCCTTATAATAATAACTTTTGTGTCTTGGATAGTAGAGATATAATCTTTGTTTGATATGGTAATTGTCCCAGATAATTTATTAAAATTCCTTCTAACTCAGCAAAACTCTTGTTGATTAATGCTTTCTAAACTTAATTTAATAATGGGGATATTATGGCATGCTATAAAGAACACTATTCTAGGATTCAGAGCATCTTAGTCTTTAAGAAGCTGTGTTTACCTCACTTTGCCTCATTTCTCCTAAATTAAATAAGGGCTTCAGATTTTTTAGCCAACACATTTTAAGAGAATGTATTACTCAGTTTGAAAGATAGAAGCAGTTTATTTAGGTATATTCTGTGCTTAAATATTAATGTAAAATCTCATCCAAGCAAAAGTTTTAATTATCTTAAAACTTTTCACTGATTTATATAAAAATAGAGTAAGGCTTGTAAAAGCTCAAAGTTGTGTTACACAGTAACCTGTCAGAAAAGGAAAATTCAACTATTTTCCACTAATAGTGAATGATAGAAGATGTTAAAACTTGTTGTTCCAAGAATGTTGATTGTGGAACCAAGCAAGCTGAAATTGTTAACAATCTCAATCTCTTCTCCATCTATTACAATTCCATTTCGCTTAGTGGTGAGAATCTTTGTTTTCTTGCTGTTGAACAGTTCTTAACCCTCTGCAACAGATGCTTCAGGCCCTCCTTGGTTTTGGCAAGTAAGGTTGTGTCATCTGCGTAACAGAGGTTGTTAATGAGTTTTCCACCAAGTCACATTCCTCCTCATAAAGTCCAGACTCAAATTATCTGTTCTGCATACAGATTGAAAAGGTATAGAGACAGGACACATCCCTGACACACTCCTTTTCTGATTTTGAACCGTGCAGTGTTTTCTTGCTCTTTTCTGACAGCTGCCTCATGGTCCAAGTACAGGTTTTGCATGAGCACAACCAATTGTTCTGAGACTCCCATTCTTCTCAAGATTAGCCACAATTTGTGTGATTCACAAACAAAAATGTCTTTGTATAAACATTAAAACATAGATAGACATTCCTCTGGTACTCTCTGCTCTTAGCCAAAAT